ACGTTTTTTGTGTTTTCATAAAATCCTTGAAGCCTAGTGGTGAAGAAACGTCGCGGCGTGAAAGCTCTTTTCAATCCTCTATCCCACATCAAGAATATAGTACTTTACAAATCCAGTGCTTTAAAAGTGGCACCATCAGCATGAATTTCAGATCACGGGAGGGTGATTAAGTTTGAAAGTTTATGTTATTCGTTTTACATTTGCAGCGAATGAAACTGTTGAATTTCATTCTCACAGTTCATTCATTTTCCAACTTCTCTCAAAATTCTCAGAACAGTAAACGAACCGCCTGATACATTTCATCACTCTTGAACTATTCCGAATTTGATTCCTACACGAAAAACGAAATATCCCGAACTATTCCAAATGAATAAAAATTCAAGCTTTACTAGTTGCCGAAGGGGCATTTTGCTTGGAGTTGGAAATAATCAGATCTAAGCCTTTTTATCTGGGTAGCTTTTTATCGAAATCCGACTTCATCTGGTGTCAAATACGTGAAGTTTATTGCAGGGGAATGGTTGGTGACGGCGGATTCACTGGCACGACTGTGCTTTTTTGAACTATCTCAAGCGCTTGAGCCGAGCGCTTCGCACAAGGAACGGCAGTGCAAATGTCATCTGGAAGTGACCGAACCAGTCTATGCGATGACCAGCATCTTCGACAGATTGGTGTGCGGTGATGCGGCTGGTCAGCTCTCTGTCTACACTTGGGCCGATATCGGCAGCTTCTCGCAGAGTGGCCAGCTCGCTCCAATTTGCAGATTTAGCGCTTTCCCAACGAATATCTCGGCTGCTCCACCAAATGAAATTAATGCGCTAGCAACGATGAACGGCGATCGCATCCTCTATGCTGGCGCAATGGATAATGCAGTACGCCTGGCGAGCATCGAACGCCCCGACAAGGTACTTTCTCTTTTGCAGTAGTACTGGCACACGATATTTTGTTCAGCTCTCGGTACATCTTCATACCACCCGAGCGATTCGAAGTGTTTCTGAGATTGCTGTATCTAAAATCGTCTTTTTTTTTCACGTCAATACGGCAAATTTGGGGTCCCCTTCTTTCGTAAGAAGAAACTGTCGATCCCCTTCTTTCGTAAGAAGAAACTGTTGATCCCCTTTTTTCGTAAGAAAAAACTGTCGATCCCCTTCTTTCGTAAGAAGAAACTGCGTAGCCTACCGTTCTATTGTGTCTTCACAGCAGTAATTCTTCCTTTTACTTCCCTGCATACTTCCCATCTCCTACGTCGAAGGTATACAGAGATTTACTGCATCAACAGTAAAAAGTAGCAGTTGAGTATATGCAGATTTGTTAGCCAGCACTAACTGTACGTCACTGAGGTAACTATCAAAACTCAGCTCGGCCTGGCTGCGCAATATATGTTCATTTTTATGCGTTTCTGCATATATGCAAATTGCAAAAACGCATATTTGGCAGAGGTTGTTTGTGTTTGTCTGTGTGTTCGCACTTTTTGTCATCTAGTTTCGACTCGAGAACCAGAAAAGCTAGAAGGCTGAAACTTTGGGAGTATGTGCCCATACAGTGCACGACCCTCGCCTTTTAATATAAACCTCCCTCCCCTCCGGACGCTTCAAAAAAATATGCAGATTTTTTAGCGGGAAAGAGATCTCGGAAACCGGACAAGGTAAGGACGTGAAACTTTATAAGAATGTTCCTTGTACGTGTGTTAGCTAAAGGCTTCAAATTCAGCCCCCAGTCTTGCGTGGTACTCACGTAAGGGCATATGAAAGTTTTTGCGGGGAAATTACTAATTCGGGAACCAGAAAAGCTAGAAAGCTGAAATTTTAGGGTAATGTTCCCTGTCCAAGTACCACTTAAGTATTTCAAATTCAGCCTTGAGGTATACGTGGTCCTTATGTACGGGCACTTAAAAGTTTTAGCGGAAAAATTTCTCACGGGGCAGCTAGGTTACTTTTAAAGAACGAGCGTTAAATGGGAATTGTACATTTACTTAATGCGAAATTTATGGTGATTTATGCTAGTGACCGCAAAAGGTAGATGTAAAGCAAAAACCATTTATGTAGTTAATAACCTGATTACTTCAACTCCGGTGCAAAAACGCATGATCGTACGCGCCTGGCTGGTGCTTTCTAGCCTGGGTTATTATGCGTTTTGTGCTGTGTAACAGCAGTACAAAACGCATATTGTTACGGGGTTGTCTGTG